TGCATTTGGGATTCTCAAAATAAATCCACTTTTCATCGCCATTCACAATTCGATGCAAAAAAGACTTTCTTTCGTGCCATTGAAGCAACATTTTACTGATCGACTTCTCGGTTTTCCATTTGTCCTTAGTTCAGTTCATGTGGCACTCATTTTCCTTCCTTTAAAATCTTTCTCATTGCATGTTAACAATTGGAAATTGTTTGCTGAGCAACGTTTAATCTTTCTGCAAGTTATTTTTGAATTTGACACGCATCTTCATCCAATAATGCTTGTAATTGTTGGTCAACCAAAAATTTTGGTTGACCTGGATGTTCTTTGTCTTTCACATCGAAATCATCACTTATAAAGTATTTAAATCAGCATTCACCAGTATCTTGGCACGGAACTTGTTGAACATAAGCTTCCCAAAGTATACAATAACTTTTTCTTTGAAATAAAGTAATGAATTAAAACTTCCCACAAATGCTCTTTCTTTTGCCATGAAATTCAACGTTTTTTAAGCATAAAAATATCTATGATGCTAACACCTTCAGAAAATTTGACATATGAAGTTTTGAAGCTTGTTGCCATACAACAAAATAATATACATATCAAATTGCATATATAGCAATCTATGTGTAACTCCATCTAGTGAAAAAAAATCCGTGTTATTAACTGGTACAATTGGTATATTGATTTCATGCAATGGCCTGAAAATAAAAGATCTGCAACAAGGATTAATAAGAGGCTGCTGAGAAGTTCTTGGCCACTGACGATCACAAAACAGGTAAGACCTGACCAGAAATATGACTCAAATATGACAGGTACCACATGGAAGAGAAGCAGGATCTCCAGCACAATCTTCTGCTAACAGCCTTCAGCAGGGCTCATTTGCTGGTGACACGGGCAAGCTGTGTAGTAGATTGGTTACATCTTTTCCAAGTAAAATTCAATAAATCAGTAGCTGCTGTTGGACAATTACTTGAGCAAGTGTGTACACCTCATAACATATACGGAGGCACATGTTGGAGAATACTGCAGAGGGAGCAGCTCAGCGGAACAAGTGACATAAAATTGCCGCAACGGGGACAGAAGCCAGAGGCAGGAAGTCACAGATGAAATGACAAGTCAGCAAAGTGTCAATCAAATATGGGCAAGCAAAGGCAGAAATCTGGCGTGGCGTGTGGCACCTGCACCTACACACCTGGACAGGAGCAGGTTCCTGGTGTGACCTGGAAAAAGCCCTTATGTCACACCTAGCTCCTAGTTGTCACTCAGCAGGGCTAGGCTTCCTCCAAGACCATCCTGCATATTCACCCTGTGAACAAACCTGGGTTCTCCGTGCACCTTCTACTGTGAAGATACTTACAACCTAAATATCCGAGTACTGATGAAAGACAACGGAGGTGAGCAGCCAGCACGGGCCCGGAGCAATTCAGCGTGCAACAGTATTTAGGAAAGACTGCAAACAACTGAATTAGGGTCTTACAAGAGCAGTCCATGGATCGTGCTATGATCATAACCTGGCACAAGCTGTCCTAAAGAACCTCCAGCTACAGAAGGGAGCAGAAGCAGAAGCCATGGATGTGGACAGTCACCCTCCCACAGAGTTGAACAGCAACATGGGACCCAGTAAGCTGTCTGCAGGTTTCCTGATTCTCAGACATTAACTGCACTTTTTGAGGCAACGGGTCTTGGGGATGTTGGGTGAGTCCATTGCTCAGGGCTCTCCATACAGGTCACAACTGGCAGCCACAGCACAATGGACGAGAATGTGGGGCATGAGCAGAGCCCACGGTCAGGCTCTGAGAGAGAGAAAGCTACATTGGGAGAATAAAGGAAGAGCAGACATCACGTCAGGACACTAGAACATATGAGGTGGTCTTACCTACAGATGAGACCAGTGCAAAGATTTCCAGCATCACATCGCAAAACAGAAGTCTCTGAGCCTCATCAAGGAGCCCCCACTCCTCCTGAGAGATGACAATGGCCACGTCCTCAAAGTTCATCTCCTGTCACAATGGAGACAGTTCAGTCCATGGTCAGCTTCTCTCCTAGGATTTTATGTACATCATATACCCCACCATCCACATCCATCCACTTCCTCTACTCCCCACATCAGAGTAGGTACCAGGCCTTGGTCCCACCGAGAAAACCCTCTCCTTATGGTTCCTACTGATACTGTGTCTTCCCCCGACAATAAAGACCAATGACCAGGAGATCATACATGAAACTGGGCCTCACATTAGGCCATAGGCCAAAATGTCTCTTATACATTACTGTGGGTATGACCAACAAGAGTAGGAACAAATATTGGCCATAAAGAGAGTGTGAGTGATTAGCCAATATCCTTGTAGTCCCCAGATTATTACACCAAAAACCAGATTCACAATTCATTCACCCTTTCAACCCCAAAGTGCTGAGGCCATCACTATGCACTACCTGCTGCACATAATTCTTGAACCGCACTTCTCTCATACAGCTCCTTCCCAGAGGCACACCGTCACACATAACACAAATATGCCATCAACAGGATGGTGGTTTCCTAATTTTTTACAATTATAGTTCACCTCCTCTGTAACCTATTTCTCTTTTACCCTCTATCTTGTCCCTCTAGTGGAGATTTTCAACCAGAGTGACCCAATATATGCTACCTCATTGCTACTGATCAATGTAACAGCCCTCAACAACAGTAGGCAGGTGGGCACATATATGACACCGAAACTCTGGACCAGGAATGTAGCATCACAACACACCCTCTTTTCTGGAATTACCCTAAAATTCACCATATCACATTATCCAGACACCACCCGAAATGGACTCAACCTTCCTTCCCTCTTATGTCAGTGTCAGGGCCCTGAAGCCACGAATTCTCATGCCCTCTCCAAGGGCACATCACTCTTCCTCCCACACCCACAGCCCCCATAGCCGTCTCCCTGCCTTTTACTTACTCTCTGCATGTGTGGTCCACAGAATGTCTGGCCATTTCAAGATGGATGAAGTACCACCCCCACTCTTAGTCCACACTCAGAGGCAGCCTGGAATCCTGCCTGAAGGCCTCCCTCCCTGCAAGTTTTTCCTTCAACGTTCACCTGAGAACCACACCAGATCTCTCTACAGGAGCTGCATTCACCAGTCACAGCCTTCCTCACTCAAGTCCCATCGCCTACGGCCCTCTACCGCATGCTCAGTGAGTCTCTCCCATGACCATTCATGCACATAAGCAAGTCCACCAGGCTGACTACAACACCCCAGGCCACACCAAGGCTCACAACAAAATCCCGTTGAGTGTTTAAAAAACAAGTATCTATCAGTCCCAGTCTAAGCTTTACACTCCTCTAAATTAAAAAAAGGTTGAATTCCTCCCTGATCCATACAAGCTTCACATTTTTTTAAAGTATCGATAGTCTTCATCTTGAATTACTCCTCCGAATCCCAGATGCTCTGGAACCACTCTAAGAAATACATCATATCCTAAGAGGCCAAAAATAAAAGATCTTATATTCCTAATGAACATTAACTTTCCTAATATGGATTTGTCCATCTCAGTAGATGGTGCTTCCATTCCTTCAGCTGCTAAATCCAAACCTTCAGGTCATCTGACTGTTACCTCTCCTCCTCGCCAAATTAGAATGTCCAGGTGGCCACACCTAAAACACTGATCCCAAATCCAACTGCCTCTTCCACATCCACAACCTCCCTCATGGGCCAGGTACCATCACACTCACCAAGACCCATCACAACAGTTTCCGCCCTAGTCTTCCCACCACCGTCCTCTCACCCACAGTGTTCATCATGCTGCAGCCAGAGGGCGCCTGAGACCTGGGTTGGATCACCTGCCTCCACTGCTCGGATTACCCCAATGATTCCCTCACCTGCAGAACAAACACCCAGGTTGTCATAATGCTCTTCTAGCCCCGACTCCTGTCCCATTGTTACCAGTTCCTATTTTTTAAAAACGGACATCTGCTGCTCCCTGAATCAGCTGTCTTCACTCCAAACCTTTGCACTTTCTGGGACCTATGTTCCCATCTAATTCCACTGGATGCCAAAATCAGAGACCACTCACATGACCCTAGACCTGGACTCAGGATAGTGGGCTTGGTGTCTCTCAAGTTCCTCAGGTCCAAGGATGAGAAGCGCAGGTGGACAACCCCAGAACCCCACTATCTCATGGGCCACAACAGTATGATGCCTAGCTGAAACTGGTTTAGCTCAGTGGATAGAGCGTCAGTCTGCAGACTGAAAGGTCCTAGGTTCAATTCTGGTCAAGGGCATGTACCTTGGTTGCGGGCACATCCCCGTTAGAGGGTATGCTGGAGGCAGCTGGTCGATGTTTCTCTCTCATCGATGTTTCTAGCTCTCTCTCCTTCTACCTTTCTGTTAAAAAATCAATAAAATATATATTTTTTAAATAAATTAAAAATAATTAAAAAAAAAAAAAAAAAGTGTGTGAAGTCCTGAAATAAGCTCCACAAACCAATCCCCCTAAGTGGTTCTGCATCTTCAGGAATCTGCGGACAGAGAGAGGTCTGCTGAAAGCCTGGCATCCAATGCCAGGACCCATGGGCTCAGGCTGCTGAGTACTGTCGCCCAGCCTCCAGGCCAGGTAACCTGGAGTTAGCTGATTCCCCAACACCTCAGACCTCAGTGCAAATTCTTGCCAGGTTCATTACCTTTACAAGACTTCTCCTTCCTGTTCCTAACTGCTGCCCTCTCTCTCCTAGTCTGTTCTTCCTCCAAGCAGCTTTGGGAAATGTTTAGAACCCTACATCAATTAATTTTTTTTTTTTTTTTCACAGCCAGCGTCCTGAGAATGAGAGGGAAAAATCTCAGGCAAAACTTTCCCTCATCTTCTTCTTCTTTTTAAAAAAATATTTTTTATTGATTTTTTACAGAGAGGAAGTGAGAGAGAGAGCCAGAAACATCGATTAGAGTGAAAAATCAACCAGCCACCTCCCCCACACCCCCCACTTGGATGTGCCCCCAACCAAGGTACTTGCCCTTGACTGGAATCGAACCTGGGACCCTTCAGTCTGCAGGCCGACGCTCTATCCACTGAGCCAAACTGGTTTCGGCTCCCTTGTCTTCTTTGTTGCCTTTAGACACAAACACGACCAGGTTTCTCGAGTCTTCTCTGCTCAGTCCCACCACCAAGTCCTTACACAATGACACTGCAGCCTGTCACACTCTTTCCCCATCACAACTCTGTCACCAGCAGCGACTCACTGTTCCCAGACACAGAGACCTGTGCTGTTGGACCAGGGGCCCGCACCTGAGGCGGGAGGGTTAAATGGGGTACCGCCGAGTAGAACTCTAAACAGAGGAGTCTGGGAGGCAGGGAGGCCCCGCCTATTGTGACTCAACAAGCCCCAGACAGACCACTTCACAGCGGGATGCTGCCTCTGACGCCTGGTCCCACTGGAGACCTGCTCCCGGAAGCCCCTGTCTCTGTGAACAAAGCGGTTAGAATGACCACCAGGGAGACGCTGAAAGCCCCGCCCTAAGCCGTGTACCCGTAGATAATGCGCCTCCTGTTCTGGGCTGTCATTGGCTATCCTTAGGTGCATGGCCCTTTGGGTAATACACTGCAGGTGGAATAAGGATCCCAGTCCCTCCTGAATTTTGCAAATACTGGTGGTTATGAACCCAAATGGCCCTGGGAAATGACCAATTTAGGTTTGGGTGACTGGTTTCTGGGAAGTGTTGTCTGCAACGGATCTGTTATTTGCACACATTCCAGTTCAGATTCTGTGAAGCTCAGAATGCTCCTTAGGTGAAAAGCATTATTTAACTAATTCCTGATGACAATTTTAAACTTCTTTTAATGTGACTTTAGAGAGAGAGGAAAAGACAAGGAGAGAGACACACGGATTGGCTGCCTCCTACTTGCCTCCCATCCACCCCTGGACATTCAGCCAGGAAACCAGGCTTATGCAACCCCTGCGCATGGGGTGATACTCAACCAACTTTGTCACTCCAGCTGTCAGAGTTTTTATTTTTAACACACACATATCACGTTATTAAGAGAAAAAGCAGGCCATGACAGAATATACACAATCCTATCCCACTGGCTTTACTTATTTTTTTAAAAATTGCCAGAACCGGTTTGAATCAGTGGATAGAGCGTCAGCCTGCAGACTGAAAGATCCCAGGTTCAATTCCGGTAAAGGGTATGTATGTACCTTGTTTGGGGGCACATCCCCAGTAGGAGGTGTGCAGGAGGCAGCTCATTGATGTTCCTATCTCTCTCTCTCTCCTTTCCTCTCTGTGTAAACAAAAATCAATACAACATATTTTAAAAATAAAGACAGGGAGATACCAGCTAATTCCTGAATGAGCTCAGTCTTCACGCCTTTGCACATCCCGGTCCCTGTGCCTGGGAGGCCCTCCCACATCTCACCCACCCGGTGCCCAAACCAGGGTCCACTCCCTCCAGCCCCAGCCGTGGCCTCAGGACCCTGGGCTGAGGGTCTGCAGGTCCCGGGGCAGGAGGAGCGGCTGGACAGCCCCGCAGTGGGAGGCCCTGACCTCAGCCCACAGCCCGGCCCCTGAGCGGCTTTGACCGCAGGGCCTGTGGAGCTGAAGGCGCTGAGGGCCCGGCTCCGCCGCCAGGACCCGGGGCTCAGGCTGCTCGGGGCCTGGCCCAGCCCCGGGGCCGGGGCCGCCGCCCCCTCGGGCTCCGTCCCTCTGTGCGCACAGCCAGCCCGGCCCTGAGGAGGACAGGCTCCTCCCGGAAGCCCCGGTCCCTTTAGACACACAGGCCGGCCGCCCCCCTCCGCCCGGCCTCCCGGGCCCCGCCCGCCCCTGCGGCCCCCACGGGCACTCACTGCTCCGGGCGGCGGCCTGGGCTGCGGCCTGAGCGGCGCCGCCCCGAGGCGGGAGGGCCGCCGGGGCCGCTGAGGGCGCTGTGTCCGCGGGAGGAGGCGGGGGCCCGGGGACCCAGTCCCGCCGGGTGGGGGCCCCCCGCCTCAGACACCCTGCCCGGCGGAACGCCGCCTCCCACTCAACACCAGGGAGCTGAAGCCCACCAGCCGTGAAAGGAAAGCAAAATGTCCGCCAGCAGGAGGACGCAGGAAGTCCCGCCCTAACCGGATGCGCAGGAATCAAATTGTCCTTTACCGCAGCAGAAGCGGGCGCGTTGCCTTCTGGGTAATGTAGTTTTCTCAACTGTCCAGAGGAGGGCTAGCATTCCAGCCCCTAACCTTGGGGAAGGAAGATGTTGTGACACCACAAGTGGAGCTGGGGAAGGAGGAGATGGGAACAGATGATCCAGTTAAATAAGACAGACTGACAGATCCTCCAGGGAAGGCGGTGGGGAGGCTGGGAATAGATCCCCCCCAAAAAAGAATATCTATCTATGATATACAGGGGGAAACGGGAGACATCTATGATACCATCAATGAAAAATATATATTTTAAAAAATTGTTTTGCTGAAACCGATTTGGCTCAGAGGATAGAGCGTCGGTCTTCGGATTGAAGGGTCCCAGGTTCAATTTCATTCAAGGGCATGTACCTTGGTTGCAGGCACATCCCCAGTGGGGGGGGTGCAGAAGGCAGCTGATCTGTTTCTCATCGATGTTTCTCTCTCTCCCTCCCCTTTCCTCTCAGTAAAAAATCAATAAAATATAATTTTTAAAAAAGATTACAAACTGTCCATAACAATAATTCACACAAAGCTCTTTGTAAAATCTGCAAAGAGCCCGAAAGGTATATAAATACACAAATTCCTGTGTCTTCCCACCTAGCTGCATCTTTTCTATATCGCCATTTCTCATTGTTACCCTCCCTCTTTTTTAAAAAGTCAACATATTAAAGACACATAAAATACTGACTTAAAGAGAATAGACTCAGTTTTGCACACAGCTCTAAGCCTACTTTAGCCATAAACTGTATGTGGGTGAGAGACACGTTTATTTCACAAGTGATGGGTTTATAGCTTGATCCGTGTCCAAGCTCACCAATTAGTACACGAGTTAGTCCTCAGTGCAACCAACTCCCAACTGGCGAGCAGGACGACGCCAGAAGTCCCGCCCTGATGGAGGTGCAGGCAGCCGAATGCCCTTTACCTTTGCTGGCTTGAGCGCGATGCCTTCTGGGTAATGTAGTTTTTCCACCGCCCAGGGCCTTGTGTGCGCCCAGGGAATCTTCTGCTCATCCTGGGTTCCTTCCACCATTGGGTAGGTTGTGCAAGTCTTCCCAAGCATCTCAGAGCTTCTCTGGCACCAGGCCCCCCGCAGCACCGAGGAGCCACACAGGGGCAGGGAGATGTCTCAGGAAGTTCTCCGTAGAGAAAGTCACCACCTTTGGGGTGAATGTGAAAAAGCTGCCCATCAAGACCAAAAAGTTGTTCAACGTCAGGGTGGCTGTTCTGGAGAAGTGAAATATGAGTGTATCAAATGTGGGAAATTTTCATATACACATATATATTTTAAATACTTTTTAATATATATATTTCATTTATTTTTTTTACAGAGGGAGAGGGAGTTAGAAACATCTATGAGAGAGAATTGTTATCAGCTGCCTCCTGCACAACCCCTATTGGGGATGTGCCTGCAATCAAGGTACATGCTCTTGACTGGAATTGAACCTGGGATCCTTGAGTCCACAGTCCAACGCTCCATCCACTGAGCCAAACCAGTCAGGGCTATATATATATTTTTTTTGATTTTACAGAGGAAGGGAGGAGAGAAAGTAAGATCAATGACGAGAATCATTGATTGGTGGCCTCCATCCCCCCTACTGGGGATTGAGCCTGCAACCCAGGCATGAGCCCTTGATTAGAATCAAACCTGGGACTCTTCAGTCAGCAGGCACTCTATCCACTGAGCCAAACAGGCTAGGACTGTGGGAGTTTTTATTTTAAAATATATTTTATTGATGTTTTTACAAAGAAGAAGAGAGGGGGATAGAGAGTTAAAAAAATCGATGAGAGAGAAACATCAATCAGCCGCCTCCTACACACCTCCCACAGGGGATGTGCCCGCAACCAAGGCACATGCCCCTGACCAGAATCGGTGCTGGAAGTCAAGGGAAGGAAGGCCTATTGCACAAATCTCTTGGTGGAATGGGCCTCTAGTTTTTATATAGTATCAGTGGGTGGGAAGCAAAAGCAATGACCATTTTGGGTCGCATTTCCACATATCTTAAAATGTAACACATTCACCTACACAACATGTATCTATATATAGAACTGAACACAAATGTTCCCAGATTTATTGATAATGCCCCAAACCTGGAAGTAACAGAAATCATAGACAGATCAATAGATACAGTGGTTATCCATCGAACATACTACTATTCAGCAATAAAAAAATTAAAAACTATTCACATAAGCATTTGCATTGAATCTCAAAATAACTGTGTAGCAGGAAGGAAACCAATATTTGTTAAGAGTACACACCTAAGCACTGGCCAGTTTTGCTCAGTGGTTAGTGTTGGCCCATGGACAGACAGATCATGGGTTCAATTTCAGGTACGGGCATGTACCTCCATTGCAGATTCGATCCCTAGCCCTAGTTGAGGTGCATGCAGGAGGCAACCATTCGATGTGTTTCTCTCACACTGGTGTTTCTCTCCATCTCTCACTGTCCCTCGGACTATCTCTAAAAACCAATGGAGAAATATCTTCGGGTAAGGATTAAACAAAAATTGCACTTTGTTGCATGTCAGTTCTCATTTGCTGGGAGGACCAGCCTTGCCTCGGTGGCAGCAAATGTTGTCAAGTAGGGAAGACTATTGGCATTGAAATCAACAGGAATGCTGACTGGTTACAAAAGACACATCCAGGGAGTGACTGCAGGGTTATCCTTCCTCTAGCTCTGAGGTCCTGCCTGTTGAGCTACAACCTTGAGGTGAACACCCTGGTCAGGGGAATCCAAAAGGCCGTTAGATCCTTTCCTCTGCCAATTACCTCAGCCACAGGAAACAGAGATGGAGGACCTGAGAACGCCCGTACACGAAGATCGCACAGGACCTTTGATCGTTTGTGGGTAACATTCAGAGGAGGCACTTTCTTTTTCTTTTAA